AAGTACTTAGATCTTTACTATTATTATTGAACACATAGATATTGGTACAAGGAGGCACCAAATACATATGCGCCACAAAAATCTCATTTGATATGTGTGAGGGCTGTGACACTGCCCAGGTTCCCAAACCGAATCAGGTGGTTTTCTTAGGGGGCCACACCCCGAGCCTTCGACCTGAAGGTCTGATCCACAAGGCAGTAGAGCATTGTAGGGAGATGCAGTCGCATCTTAGCTGGTGACCAACGATTGATTCATACGCCATTTTTTCCTTCAGGATACTGGAGCCCATGTGCATCAGTGGTTTGGAATCAGGGTTTTCCAACTCCCCTAGGTTGACTCACCGTGTCCACCAACCAGGGTAAGTCGTCGAGCATTCGCTTTTCGTCCTCTCAAGTTCGTGAACAACACCCTCGCCACGAGAAGGCAGTGAGTAGGACTTCCCTGGCAGAGGCTATACACTCGTGACCATGTGGGAGCGTTCCGAGAGGGAGAGCGGACTGTCCCCACTCTCGGCCGTACCAGGGCATTTGGGGGCACTTAGATCTTTAGGTAGTAGAAAGTAATACTGGGTAGTCTTACTTAGCAGCCGAATTCAAAGTGAGGATACCTACCTCCTACAGTTTTAAACAGATATGATTTCATTTTATTGCTCCATATTTTGTGCCATTAATTTTATAGTGATAAATGAGGAACATTTTTAAAATTTCAGGCAACTTCGGAAGCTGAAACTAAGCGAGTTTGCTAACGAGTTTTTTGGCAAGAAAATCGACCATTTACTCATCGATATACAAACAAACCGGCAATAAAAAAGGCTTAATTGATGCTAATCTCTCGTTATAAAGGGAAATGAGAAAAGAGAATACGAGATCAGTAGAATTAGTAGTTTTATACGACAAAAATAATTCTGAATGATTTTAATGGGCTTTGACTTATTTAGGTTCCGTTCAGTTTGTTATCTAGATTATTTATTATTAACCAAAAGATCTCTTAGTTAGCTGTTAATTCATAAGACTTCCCATTATCTATCCACCATAATGCTTTTCACTCTCTCGACAATACAACACGTATTCATCACTGAAATTCGTAAGGATTTATCATAATAATAACAGAAGCTGGTATCCTACAGTGCTACTTTCCGATACGAATTTCACATCAACCAAAGATTGTACCATACTGATTTATTTTACATCACGGATTCAACATTTTCACCAACACTCTGACCAAAATAATAATCAAAGTATACAAATAAACTTATAGCCAAAATCTTTTCTTATACTGATGGATGAAAAAACGGTTCGTAATGAAAACTCAACTAAATTAGCGAACAATCCCCATAACTTTACAGTGTCGATTTGTAGATTAGTGCAGTAATCAATCTATTTCTAAACAGTCAGAATATAACCTATCTATGGTCAATTCAATCTCGAAAATCTATGGAAATTCAAAGAGAGGAACTAAGAAAAGCACTCCAGTGACCAATTTCTTTAGGTCGATACAAATGTAGTGCAGCTTTAAAAAAGTAATTAAAACGCGCCAGATATCCTCAATAACTGACTTCGATTACACCAAAGAATTCGTTCAACTTACAGGAAGCTACGTAAAAATACAAAAAATTACACGCAAAATGGAGACAACTTTTATTTAGTTAGAGTGGGAATTCAAGTTGTATAAATACATCTAACAGCTTTTCAAATGACTGTAAGTTCAGAACTGAAATACCATGGCCTGGAAAATTGAGAATTCTAAGCACGGGTTCGGCTACTATACACCATTTTCACATAAGTAAATGTGAAACATTGTGTATTCCACTTAGTAACTACTGACGACGACATATTTACATATATTCCATAGGACAACCAATCCCAGTATTAAAGTAATTTTGTAGTTGATAAAATATTGAATGTAAACAAACTTTAGACTTGAGAAATGTCTGACAGAAATGCAAAAATACAGGTCACTATCGATGGAACAGAAATTTCCAAGCATATTAGTCGAACTCGCGAATTGTACATGACCCTTTAGAACGAGATAGTCATTAAATATTCTCAGGTTGAGAGCACCGGTTGGCAATGAACGAATAAAAACGAACATTTATTGACAAATTCAGTTTGCAATTCATTACATGACGATTAATAAGAATTGACCACAAGCAAGTACGAAAAAAACGGGCCACATTCACGAAAGTCATCAGATATGGTTTAATATGTTCTACATCGTGTTACCTAGTCAGTCATAAAGAAAGTAGGATCTGGGACATATGTTCATCATTCAAAGTCGCTACACTGTTACATCCGGACGAAGAATAAATGGATAGCAACTGCTAGGACTTATATTGACGGACTATTAGTATATATATATATATATATATATATATATATATATATATATATATATATATATATATATATACCTTTAATCATAAGCTTTCATTTGACCTATTGGCTACTGTTACACGATTTACTATTCTTAGCTTATTCCCAATTTAGTTCTTTTAGTTACAGTCTAATATACTCACAGCTACTTTTGACTCGATCTCGTATAATAATTATTTTTCCATTTTATGGTGTGATGAGGTCTCGTCTGTTTGTATATAAACTACGTACGTTTGAAATATACGATCCATACAGCGGAGGCTGATATTTATGTTCTGGACTGGACGGGGTGAGCTAGGCGAGAAGTTACCATTTTGAGGACCAATGAGGACTCAGAGTTGACTAAAGACTACTCGTGCCAGTTAACGCATAATTGACTTAGCACAAGGACAAGGTCACATATATTAGTGTCTTGATTGGTGATTTTGTCGGGTAATATTCGGTCGGGCCATAAGATATAACATACGCCGTGTAAATACGGTTAGGTGAAGTTATCAAAACAAACTCCATAGTAGTAGCCGTAACAGTACCAGTAGCAGGAGATAAAAAACAAACGATGTAATTCGAGAAGAGGGAGTTAGTTAGCTATATAAAAGGTATGAAATCATGTTGAAACCTATTATCTGAGAAAGGCAAAAAGTAAATGCTTCTGTGTCATTGTGTTAGCGGGACACAGACTGGATTAAAGCATGCTCAATGCACGATTGCTTTGGTGCACGCTGATTGGCTAGTTCTTATCCAATCAGCGCTAGTCGGTACTTGGAGAATACTCTAGAATCTTCTCATGTAAAACCTATAAATATACTAACGTTTTCCCTATTGTGCTTCTTACTTCCATCTAAACTTGTTATTTGGAATATAATCTCTTTCCTGTTCAACCGTGTTCTGATTTGGGGACTTGTCGAGTGAATCGGTGTCCGAGAATACTAAGCAATAGGAATAGCTGCGTCATAACCGTAAGGAAGAGAAATATAACACATTGCGACCGATCACGAGTCATGTTACCCATCACCTCTTACCATCGGTCATGATAATCGCATAGATACCAACCCGGTAATCTCCAGTAGGTTGGTAGATCTATGGTTTAGCAGTTCAGGCAATCGACTTTTGGCCACTAAGTTCAGGTTGTGAACCCCTCACCACCTAGTTTAATCTGAGCAGCCAGTGTCGTTAGCCCTCATAATCGAAATGTGGTTCATACCTAAGTGCCTCCTGAGGGAGTTTATTAAATTAAAAAAATTAAGCTGAAATCATGAACCGCTCAGTATAAGACTAGTATTGAAAACATAGAAGCACTGGACGGTCGCTTCGTCTTAGTGTGAGACTCCTCAGCCTTGATCGGGTCATAATTTCAATAAAATTCAACAATCTCCACAACGCCATACTAAAAAATTAAGCATAGCTCCAACCAGCAATCAATGATATTATGGACTGATGATATGTCTCGGTTTGGTCGCCCGTCTTTCTTGCAACCTACTTCTACATCATTAAATACTACTAGCCGAGGCAGGTGATAAAGTTGTGGGAAATCATGCGGTGGAAATAATGGTGGTATTATGATTTATGGATGACCTTTGAGTGACACTAAGGTGACCTTGATAGGGTTTATCTAATAACTAGAACCAAATGAGGGTTATATACCATGGTGAAGAATTGGAATTATGATTTAAAGTTGATGGTTAGGGTTAGAAATTACATTTAGGGTTTTCTTCACCAACTTACATCAGCTATAATGCCAAAACTCTATTTAGCCAAATGGACGGGTGAATTTCGCGCCAAAACCTGACACCTGTTACCTTATACTTGATTATAGTCTCGCCGAAGTAACTTTGGATAAACCAGGTCTACTTATGGCACCAAAAGGATTAAAATCAGAATGCGGAGTAGATAGCAATTAGTTTTTAGGACCTATTCAAACTTTATTTACATACGGGTAGAGTGTAATTATGGTTACTTGCATGTAACAAAAAGACAAACGTAAACATAACTATTTGATTGATATTTTCGGACCTAAAATGAAACGAGTGTAGAATAATTCAGACGCAGATAGAGGTTTTACGGTCGTAACGCGCAGAATGGTAAGAATTTATGGGGACGAATCTTTGTACCGGGCATATTACGTATGATTTTAACATCAGAAACACGAGAACGTTGGTAAATTTATTACTCATGCAGAAGCTATGTATACATTACCCAGTCTTTCCGCACTGAATAACTCATTTGCATCACTTGCATTTTGACTAGCCCCAAAAAGGATGAACATTTCTACAATCACCTTAGGAAACCCTGAAGGACATTAGTAAAATAAACCGTTATATTACATAAGGCGAGTAAGGATATCCCTAGCTTCAGCGGTTTGATTGTATTTGAACCAACAGTGATACTCTATATTCTTAGCCAAAAAAATGTTGGACCTGACAAACAATTGATCCATATTGACAAAACAACCTGACGCATCTGGATAAGAACTACCAACATCCAATCATAAAGAGGTGAACCAATGAAGGAATTAAAAAGAATGAATATTTTTTTAGTTAACGAGAGACGAACATATCATACGACGGATTTAATGATGTGTCAGTACACAAAACACTCGCAGGCATTATATAAAAAACTAAATATGGTACGTTATAAAAGTAGACAAGATAACAGGGAAGATACTTGATAACGATCATTACAAACCTGTTGTACTGTACTTTGTTTCATGTTGCTGAAAGCTAAGAGTAAACACAACTTTGATTTTACATCCATATGACTGAAAGAGGCATCGATACATTCCAGTTTTTCTTCATTAAGAGAATCAGGATCAATAGATTTAGTCCAGTTGTTATCAAAGAACTGCTGTCGAACAAATTTCATCAAGTCACCCATTGCAAAAGTGTAACTCCTTAGTCCATATAAAGTAACGTCGAAATGTCAAACTACGCTCTTAAGGTTATCACACTGAAAGTAAGAAACCAAATTCCAATCACTAGACTATTGTATTAGAAGACAATTTAATTCTGTGATTAATCCCACAATAATGCGTTCAAAATCTCGACTGATAACTTCCGATTCTCATTACTAGATTGTCCTTATTTCACGATTTTGTTGATATAAATTTTTATCGATTCAAATGGTTCAAGCGGTTCTAGACGGAATAGAAGCTTTCGCTTAACGGACCTCCGTATCAAGAAGCGGTGGATCGACAATTCCTTCAGGTAAATTCAGCGATAAAAAAGGGTAAATTATAATGAGACACTGCCCATAGTCCTTAACAATGTGTCTTCTCTTAAAGTACTCCCGGAAAGTCTCATGGTCTAGCTCAGCCGGCAGCAAACTTCACAATTTAACTACTATTAAGGAATAGAAGATGTGCCTACATTCCATCCTGATTTTTTGGATCTTCAGTTTAGGGGTGTTACCCTAAGGTTTGTGTTGGGACTACGCTTAAGTAGATGTTTAAGGAGATGCTCAGAATTGCTTGGGAAATTGTATCATTTGGAAGCCACCTCTAAGATGTCTGTGATATAAAGGGTAAAGATTCAGTGATTGGTGTCACTGGAAAAGAGGTGACATTTGACTGACTTAAAACTGTCACACTGAATATTAATAATTTCACTGTATTTAAATGTATTGGTTTTACTGGACTTCTGAACTTGTTTTTTATATTTCTGGCTTTCGACCTTTTGATTTCACTTGTCTTTGGCTTCGTATTCGGCAGTTTTTGCTCCAGGAACTTAAAAAATTGAAATCGAGAAAAGAGGAGATCCGAGTACTGAGCCCTGAGGAGCACCACTCAGACATTACATAGCCTGAAAGTGAAGTTAACCCTGACCTTAAAATGTCAATTTTCTAGATATGAAGTAAATCAATCAGAGGTGATTCGATTCCTAATCGTTTGAGATTACTGACAAAGCATATATGACTGACCCAATCACAAACTTTTGAGAAGTCAAGATATATGACATCAACCTTCCCTTTACTACCAAGCGTAGTTGTCCATCTATCCACCATGGTCAGCAGGTCAGTTATACAAGATTGTCCTTCTCTGAAGCCATGCTGTTGGGGTGAAAAGAAGTTTATGGATAGTAAGTAGTCACGTTGACCATCGCTTATCAAGGACTCAATAAAGTTCTGCTGACCTATAGCTTGAACGTTCGTGCGTTCACCTCCTTTGATAATTGGTGTGGTGTGAGCCAGCTCCCAATTTTCTGGTAATTTGTCTCGTCTTAGCGAATGTGAGAGTATCACACTAAGCAGTGTTGCCGAGATTGAAGCATCTCTCCTCAATCTAGCAGAATGGACCACATCAGGGCCGAGTGAAGTATCCTTGTTTAGGTGCTGCAGTTTCCGTTACACAAAGTCAGCGCTCAGGTTCACTCCTGAGAGTCCTATTGAGTTGTAGGTGAGGCTCTCATCGATATAATTAGTATGGGCCGGTTGAAATGTCCGAAAGTACTGTTTTGCTAGAAAGCAGTTGGCGTCACCATTGTTGTTGATTTGGCTTTTAGGACCTAGTAGTTGGGAAACTCCGTTTTTGGCTTGTAGAAAAGAGGCTGGATGACGAATAACCTTTTTGGATTGGATACAAATTTATTGACCCTCTTTATCTGGTATTGAGGTCGGTTTTCTCTTATTGACTTTGTGCATTGGTTCCTTGCTTATTTGGATCGCCTGTTTCCTCGATTGTTACCAGTTCGTTTGTATTATGAACAATAGTGCCTTTTGCGGCCTAGCAAACGAAGAGTGCGATCCTTGATGACTGTAGGTTTTGGAGGACTGTTTACGGAAGAGATTGCTTTAAGGCTGATAAATCCTTTAATTGAAATCTGGATTCGGTTCCTAAGCTCTTCTATTAACCACCAGGCTAAACCTACTCAGCGACCTGAACACGAGAGTAAAGTCGCGAAATTTGGAAGAAACTCTTTACTCCAAGGTTCGTTTATGTACAGGAAATCTAGGGTATTTATAGCAAATTAGATGGCCTTCGGCTTCCGGAAAATTGCGGAACTCCACTATACATAATAGCAGTGTGGGTAATTATCCAATCAGAAGCGCGACATGTGACTTTTCATCTTCTAGATGTTTATGAGGAAACTTCTACTGAATGGTGATTGGGTAAGATGTTTCTCGCCGTTTTCAGAGCCTTTTTGACTTTTTTCGAGGAATTTTCAAGATCTCTCCAACAATAGCATATAAGATGATACGCAGTAAGAAATATTAATGATCTTCCACCTCAAGTTGAGAGAGAACTTATCAGTCTCCCTGATGTAGATTGTCCTGAAAAGCTGACACATTCAACCGTTTGAAATTCCAGCACTTGTTGTCCGTGAGATGTCTTAGCCCAGTTTCGCTGATGAGATTGAAGGCTATGGCGGTATGACCACTTTTACCAGGAGAAGACGTTATCAATTAGGAATTCTTTATTTGCAAATGCAGTCTAAGAGCGACGGTGTCCGACTGTTTCTGTAGCGAGTTGGTTACTTGTCATTTTCGAAAAATCCGAGATCTCTGATGAGGCTGAAAAACCGATCTTCAATAGAGTTGTGACCTTTAATTTATGTATGTTCATAGAAGTTAGCTTTATGAAGGTTGAATTCTCCTAGAATCAGAATACGAGTGTAGCAGAGAAGAGTGGAGCGGGATAATCCTTCCAACACACAGTCGTCGTAATCATTGTCAGTAGTGTGCTTCCTGTAGATAACTCCAACTAGACACCTCGATGTGTTTGAAAATCTAACTAAGCATCATGCGGATTCATCAAGGTTGATAAACCCTTGGTTGTGCACCTGATGTACCTCCAGGCAAGATAGCAAGTATAAGGTTACTCTGCCCCCGTTCCTGTTATTTTGTCATTGCGAAACAAAAACATATCGGGTATTACCAGCTCTTGGTCCGTAAATTGCAAGGATACCCATGTTTCATATATTCCTATAAGATGAGCATTATTAGCATTATTGAGTTCACGAAACCCATTCACCTTATCCGACAAACTCACTGCATTCATATACAGACAGCTTATGCTCCCAATTTGAAACAAGTTTCATCGTCCTGTCTATCTGAATAAGCCTTATGTGAAGGAGCGGGCAATCTACTTGTACAAGGTTTTCCGAGTCGGTAGCATCTGTCCATTACACTTTTTTCACGATCCCGACAGTCCAAGAGTGAAATAATCAGCTCCAACGTGTTTTTGTGATTGATCCTTGGGTCATGTGGCCCGTCCGGATACATGTGGAGTCTGTTAGCACAAAATTCTTCGAGAGTAGCAGCCGCCATCTGGAAGGACGGTAAGGTTATCTTCATTAGCCACCCCGTTTTTCTTTCACCACTTGTTGAGTCAATATGTTCTTCAGCCTCAAAGAATGATTTTTGAATTTTCACTCCAGAGTATCGAAGTATGTGGTGTCAGGATCCATGTTTGCTGGCACATCTAGCACAATTATATTTCTTCTGCGAAAGAACATATCGCGAACTTCCTTAAAGATGTTCCTGATGAAATTGCACTCAGAATATGGCATACCAGACTGTATTCTTATATCCCCTTGACAGTTCAGTAGGTGAGCAGCCAGTAGAACATCTTCTACATTGGCAATGTTGGTGAACGCTACACGAAGTCGTGGTTGATTTTAGTGCTTAAAGTCCTTCCCTCATATGAGCCATGTAACCTTTAGTGACTCAATTCTGGGAAGTTTGAGTTTCCTGTTCATCTCTTCCCAAAGCATTCTATCACTTTTGTCCAGCAGACTGATAGGAAGGTCGAAGCTGTCTTCAAGGTTTCCGATTATGAGTGAAACACCGAGAAACATGATTGCTTCCCCAGGTTTTCCGGTACGTTGAGGTTGGGGTCCTTCTTGTTTGGCAGTTAAGATGTGTTTCGGATTCCTATACTCTTTGTTGACTGGTTGGACAATCTTAGGGTTAGATTACACGGCCGAATCACTAGCTGATTTCACTGTAAAACCTGGTCTGTTCAGTTTTTTGACGGTGAAACTCGATCCTTTTTGGCTTTGTTGATAGGGGTATAGTCAGCTATAGAGTTTTGGGGGCCCACAATTGCGTTTGTGGAGCCCGTACTAGGAAACTCAGGCTTGCTTAGAGAGTCTAAAATCATCGACATTATGATAGTGCTGAGCTTTAGAATATTCTCATTAGTGTTGATGTGTGCCTCACCGATACCAAAGTTACAGAAGATCCTATTCTTTAGTACGCTTAGTGTCTTTGTTTGTTTGCATGTCTCCAAGTGCGGATCTGAGTCAGGTGAAGCTGCTTACTCTCCCCGTTTATCTTTCTTCTGGTAGTTGACTGGATTATGAAGACCTCGACATCTGAGGGAAGGCACGGAATACGATGAACAGCTTGCATGCAACCAGATGATTTCAACTTCGCAGATGACCTGGTCCTTCTATCCTATACACACGAACAAATGTAGATGAATACAACTAGTGTAGAGGCAGCCTCTACATCAGTAGGCCCCAAAATATACGAGGGGAAAAGCAGAATCCTAAAATACAACACAGATAATACCAGCCCAAAAAAACTCTGCGGAGAAACTCTGGAAAAGGTGGTATGGTTAAATGATTTCGTTAAATGTCAAAATATTTGTTTAGAACTGTAGCTTTCAAGTAGAATGTTTGGTGTGATGAATAACTGTTTAGGTTAGCTAAGATCCGCTCTGTGTATATTATTACCTAAACTAAGATTAACACCGGTCTATTCAACCAATAATTGTTCAGAGAGAAGTCAAATCTAAATTGCATAAAGTAAATAAATTGGTAGACGATGTAAGACAACTGCCATGTGCAACAAGTGCACATTCCTATCAATGCAATCAGTTATTCTATCCTTTCTGGATAGATCACGTGCGGAATTTCCGTAATATAGTACTTAAT